CTGTAAGGTCTGCATTACGACGTATTTGTCCTTTTTCTTGCATACTATGCACAGGGCTGGAAGGACGGGACCAGAGCTCATTTTTGGTGAGTTTTCCTCTTCTTCGGTACTACTAGATGAAACTCTGCAGGCAACCATCTTGCTTTTCTGTTTACCAAAAGCTGCTACCCTATTGGTGTAGTCCGGTCACGTGTCGACCGTGTCACGTCTCGCGCACCAAATTCCAAAAACCAAAATGGGCAGGGTTTTTTGCGACAAACTTTTTGCTGTAAGCTTAACATAACTCCTTCTTTTTAAGAACTGAAGATGGTGTAGTTGTAGGTGTAGTTCCCAGACGTCGGAGCAGAATTCAATGTCTCAAATACTTTTCGTGGTTCACCTTACAGCCTATAAGTGCTACTAAAGATTACCCTCTTCTTACTTGTATTATTGTGTCACACTTTACTTTTCTGAGAATTCTATTGTCCTATTTGTTTATTATCCCAACAATCAAGACACTTTTTGTAATTTGAAGAACTTTTATTGCAAAGGCAAACAAAAATCTTTGTACAAGATGAAATGACACAGAAAGCTGGTTTATCCTGAAGGATCCTTGAAGCGACAGGCCTTGCCTAACATTCTTAACAACGTCAAACTCGTTTTTTCAGTGATCGTTGCTATGTAATTATATAGCCAGGTTCCAAATTAAGTTTTTTGTAGTCAGTCAAAAATGCTATACTGCTATAATAATGAGAACATTCCTTGTACAATTTGGGACCACCATGTCCTGTTGGTGCAGATGACCAGGGGGCACAGGACATCACAGGTTTATGTAATGCTGGTCATTGGAAAAGACAACTTTGATCCTTTTAAGTGAACTAGTATCCGAAAAACTGCATCAAATGATGTTATTTATTTTGAGAAGGCAGCATAGAAATAAAAACAGAAGAAAAATACATATTTGACGGTGAACGTCACATTTGTTCACTAAAGTTTCTTACTAAAGTCATTTTCAAGTGAATATTCGAGCAAAAATTCTACTACTGCTGTTCTCCATCCTTGGACGACCAATGTTCCCCGCGCTGTGAATTCTGGGAGCACACTAGTTTCAAGATGGCGGCGAGCAGGAGGCTGGCTAAGGTAAAGCTCCCGATCCTGTTTTTCCATGCAACTAAATTTTAAATTACTACATTTTATTTACACAGAGTGATGTTCAGTTATTTCGAGCTGTTTGGTACCGGGTATAAACCTAAAATTTATAAAATGAGAGGTCACAACTGTTCACCCAGCAGCCGACCCAGTATTACCTTTAGGTAGGGAAGCACCGGTAAATTAGGCCTGGGAGTCTGGCAGCAAGCTGCCAAAGACGTACAGCTCTCGAACATTTTATTCAACAGCTTACGATTACTTTAATTGTGGTGTATGTTTTGGAAATGGGAGCGCCGGGGAGTGTTTTTATTACACAGCCTTTTGTTTCCTCACACACACGGCGTCTGCTAAGCAGCTAAACTGCTAGATTCAGAGCTTAGCGTCAACCAAACATTCTCTCGAGAGTCTGAGATCCATTGTAAAGGCACTTGTGAACATTAATAAGCCAAGTGTGTTCTTTACCGTGGTTGCAACTTTGAGTGATATAGACGTACAACATAGGATTTGTATGAGTTGTAAACAACGACATAAAGTTTCCTTTTATCTCGCCAATACTTTAATTTTACACCACTCATTTGGTTAAGCGAATCAAACATTATTTTCAATTTGTGAACTCCTTCAACACTTCTCAACCTCTCTAACTTTTTCGTGCTACCATGTGAACAACATGGATGAAAAGGCTGGAGTGAAGGTAGAACTCTTTTGGTTTTGCATATTTGCCTGGACAAGTCCACGGCACACTCTGACGTTTAGGGAAATAATGTTTTCATTCGCTTATGGTCCTGCAGTGTGTCAATATGATTTACCATTGTATTATTTAGTCAGAACATACATGTATACATTTACTTTGTCAATATTATATACTGCATGAAAAACAAGAGACTTTATAATATTAAACGCTATTTGGCGAGCGTATGTAGTGAGCAAGACAAGTCATCAGAAGAAATAGTTATTTGACACATTTTTTATTATACCACATGATTTACTTTTCCATTAAGTGCATGAAAGTTGACAGAACAAGCAAGAAAATTGCTTCTTCCACATTTAGTATTTGTTCTTATTGCTGAAAGGAGAAGGAATGAACCCATTCTGATGTATTGTCTGGTCGATCTTTGATAACACAGGATTAATTCAGTTAATAAATCAAAGTCTTTACTAACTTGCTTATCGAAATTATACCAACCCAGTATAAGGGTGTGTATGCTCTGGGACGGTGTTAACTAAACCTTATGCGTGTAATGACTAACTGCAATGTCTACCCACATTTAATTCTCCTATTTTTACCTCAGTGTCTACTACATTTAACATTATTCTAAAGAATAATAAATGTTAACAAATAATTTTATTGAAAGAAAGTCTTACCCCCATGAACATATTGAACACAAACTTTGTTACACAGACTTGTATATATGAACTAAACTACGGCCATATTTTTCTTTATTGGTGACAAAATTGTAGGCATTTTTCTATTTTGTCTTTAACATACGTATTTCTCAGTTTTCTCTTCTTTAAACCAGTTGCTTTTTTAAATTCCTTAAATTTAACGTAAGGCCACATTCAGATATCTCATATCAGCCTGGTATAACATGTCAGTGAGAAGCCAGTAAATTAAAGGCCCAAATCAAAGTTAAGTCTTTTTTATTCATATAAAAGTACCACTGTCTGATTGTTCCAGAATATTGGCTTTAAATGGTTTCAGACAAACTGAGTTTTCATGACAATACATTTATCATTCCTGTTGTGGAGTTCCTCTGCTGCCGCAGGTTATATTAGTTTTTCTGGGTTTACACCTGTTGACCAGTCTGACAGAGGGGTTATTGTCTGCTTATGGGGATGAGGCTGGCCTGAGAACGGCGAGAGGCAAACTATCCCGTGGCATCCGGAAAGCAAAGAAACAATATACACAAAAAACAACCTCACATTTCACAGACAGTAGGGACACGCAGAGCCTATGGCGGGGCATCCAGACCATCACGGACTACAAGCCCACGTCACCGGTCTGCGAAAACAACACCTCCCTACTCAACAATCTAAACAGCTTCTTTGGACGCTTTGATATGCAAAACAGCACTAACCCACAGAAGACCCCACCACCCCCCCACGACCAGACCCTGTGCCTGTCTGCAGCCAGCGTGAAGAGGTCACTTACCAACATCAACCCACGCAAAGCAGCAGGACCAGACAACATCCCAGGTCGGGTGCTGAAGGACTGTGCGGAAGAGCTGAAGGATGTCCTCACAGACATCTTGAACATCTCACTGGAACAAGCCATCGTTCCAGCGTGCTTCAAAGCTGCCACCATCATACCAATACCAAAAAAAAACATCCCCATCCTGCTTCAACGACTACCGCCCCGTAGCACTGACACCCATCATCATGAAGTGCTTTGAACGGCTAGTCATGTCCCACATCAAAACCACCCTATCACCCACCCTGGACCCACACCAGTTTGCATACCGTGCCAACCGCTCCACAGAATATGCAATCTGCTCTGCTCTTCACCCAGCCCTCACCCACCTGGACAAGAAAGACACATATGTGAGAATGCTGTTCATAGACTTCAGCTCAGCATTCAACACCATCATACCACAACAACTCATCAGCAAACTGGACCAGCTGGGTCTCAGCACCTCCCTCTGTAACTGGGTGCTAGGCTTCCTCAGCCAGCGACCGCAAGCAGTACGCGTCGGTAACAACACCTCGAGCACCATCACCCTGAGCACGGGAGCCCCCCAAGGCTGCGTACTCAGTCCTCTGCTCTTCACCCTACTGACACACGACTGCACAGCAACCCACAACTCCAACCACCTGGTGAAGTTTGCGGACGACACAACTCTGGTGGGTCTCATCACCAGGGGCGACGAGACTCACTACAGGAAAGAGGTGGACCTTCTTACCACAGCCAGA